CGTGGAATATGTTGTGTCGTAGCCATTACGAATCTCTCGTGTCCTCGATTTGTAAAAGTCATTGAATCACGAGCGTCTCTCCTTCATCTGGAGGAAGCTGATACTCCTCACTCTGTTCTCGGCTTCCTAATCATCGTTATTTTCTTCTACGATTCCTTGATCTTTGTGTATGACCATTCTACTCGTCAGGCAGTTGGAGATAATGTGACCATAGCCTTGGCATCGATAGCACTTCCTGGCTAGCACCGTGCCGAAGGAGTTGCCCTTCTCTTATTTCTTCACGCTTTGCTCCGTAGTGTGGTTCTCCTGTCAGTGTTTGCTTGTCTCATGAGAGATCCTTGTCAGTCGTGGTAATTGTAGATGACACCCTGCCTAAAGATTGCTACTTGAAAGATGATTGTTTTCAACTAGGCTTTCTTGTCTTTCCAGCTTCAAAGCTAACGTCTGGACATCTCCTAGCGCCTAACATGGTTGTAGTTACTGATGGCGGGTTTCAGTCCCCCAAGATATTAGTCATCGTATGTTCCTCTGGCTCCATCAGCTCGCATTTCATCTGAAATTGGTTGAATTGAGCAGTGAACTCTTCAACTGAGAGATCCCTCTACTGCAAGTTGTGGACTTTTAGGAACATGTCCTAGCAATAGTGGAGTGCGAGGAACTTTTTCTACATTACCTTCTTCATCTTTTCCCACCTAGTGATATTTTCATTGTCTTCTCTTTTCCTCTGCCTCTACACATTTTCCCACAATAGGGAAGAGCACTTCTTCAGCTTAGCGACATCTATCTTGACCCATTTGTCTTATGGGATATCTTTATATTCAAAAATTCTTTCAACCAACTGTAGTCAGTCAAGAAACTCATCGGGAATCATGCTTCCCTCAAATTCTGATTTTCTTTTGTGTTTCCACTATTTTTATTTGTATCAGTGCTAGCACATACCCTAGTCCCATCCTAGGGTTCCCTAGCATCCACTTCCACCCAAATTTTTTCTTTCGATTCCCAACCTTAGTCATGCTACCACGAACAGGTACACCAGACGACCCAGAAAGAGATTTAGTGTGCAATATGTCGTATACAATGGAGATTAAAAGAGCTACATGACGAAAAATAAAAGGAGGTTACGTTCATCTGTGATCGATAGAGTAAACGAGAAGACAAGGTGAAGAGATGGATTCATTCCACATGCAAGATCATAGTGACGGGGAATAACATCCACATCGTTTTGGTAAGCAATACACAAGTAGGACGAGAGAAGTGGCTCCTTATTGAGGTCAGAGGGACTATGACCTCATCTATCTTGACCCATTTGTCTTATGGGATATCTTTATATTCAAAAATTCTTTCAACCAACTGTAGTCAGTCAATAAACTCATCGGGAATCAAGATTAAAACAAGGTTACAATATGACTCGAATAGAAAATAACAACAAAGATCAAAACGGCACAAACAAACACTCCTACATGTATTCCAATGAGTGGTGGAGGTCGGCGAGGTGGATCGGATGGCTACTAGGGATGGTGATAGCAACAAAATGCTGGTGGCAGCGGAGAGAAAGGTTTGGAACCGAAGGGGGAACGAGTGGGAAGGAAATTAGGTGGTCGACAACAGTAGCGGGGTGGATGAGAGGAGCTTGAACTGAGTTAGGAAGGCGGACAACAGTAATAACTGGTAGGAAAGGGGAATGGTTGACTGTTGGACTGACAGACAAAGAGTTCGGCGGCTGGGGAGAGCGAAGAAGAGTTGAGAAAGGTAAAAAGAAAAAATACAATCACCACCCAGAGAGAATAGATTTGAAGCACCACCAACTCCTCAAATACAGCCCAAAAAGGGGAAAGAGACTCCACACAGAAGAACTGAAACCGAACACACTTAGAACTGCCTCCCTCACACACAGAGTACAACTATTTATAGTTTCCCACACACAAAAAAAGAGGTAGAAAAATCGAGAAGAATTGAGAAACTCTTCCCTGAAAAAGCCCGGTGTGGCGGATACGCAAAATAACCCCACTAGATCGCACAAGTTCGTGATCCTTGTTTTTCCTTTATACGATATCACCCGCAGTCACGATCCTTCGTGTGGTTCCCTCTCCCGTTAACGCGATTCTGCTTCCAGATCTCGGCTTCACGATCGTTCCTGTGAAGGTTTGTAGGCTCCCTGCTCTCGCGTGGGTTTCTCTCACTTTCGCAAAATCTTTTGGGGCTTCGATCCCATGGGATCAAAGCACCCCCAAAATTGGGGCGCAGCTCAGCACCTGGGAGAGTTGTTTTAGTGCCAGCGTCACTACTATTGATGAAGATGTTGAAGCTCTTAATTCATTGTATCCTCTTGATTCTAATGGGAGCATTTTGAGTGACGACACATTAGCAAGGTCAAAACCATTTGTAATTCAAAGTGGGCAATCACCAACCCTAAAATTATTTTTCTTTAATATTATAAGGCATGCATTTTTTTAATATTATAGTTTTTTTGTAATCCCCCCTCAAAAAATTATTCGCCTGAAACTACAAGAAAAAAAATCCATTTTCAATATTCCCTAGAGTTATTCAGACAGGCGGGATTTGACCACCCTCAAAAGGGATTTAGACAGGCGGGATTTGACCACCCTCAAAAGGGATGCTAGCTCTACCCCTATACAATAATGAATAGAAGGTATAAAACCTTATTCATTAGACAAAGGAGTAATAAGAAAAAATTTATCATCGTTCTCTGTGTTTCCCCAAGCTTTAAACTAAGCAGGTTGATTGACCTTGCACCACATATCTTCCTTTTTTCCCAAGCACTTTTCTTTACTCTTTCACAATTGTTGTTAGTCATCTTTTCTGTACTCCTATCCTTTTTTATAATAAAATTATGCTTAATAAAAAAGCATTGATGCCTATTTTTTAAACAGAGCATAGGTTTAGTGTTCATACCTTAATTTCTAACAATGAGCTCAAATACTTTATGCATACTCCTCACATTGATGCTCATTTTTTGAAAATAAATCAGACATGCATTTCCAATTGGCTCATTTATTAAGGGTTTAACCACTACAATAACCTCTTAAAATTGTTAATTGGCCTTCCGTTCCTAATATATATCCACAAGTTCACATTATTCCTCCCCACTTTTGTTGCATCAAGTGATATCAGAGGAGGCGTTCTCAACAAAGAATCATCAAACCATTGTTTTAATGCTAGTCATAGAAATTTATTTTGGAGACACTAACAGAATATTGGACCAACAAATCCCCAAATATCAGTGCCCTTGGGCACCGGAAAAACTACCAATGAGAGAGAATGGTGAGATTATGATGATAAAAGTTTCTCACAAGAAATAACCGATATTCTTACTAAAGATGGTGAGATCATGTATGAGTACTCTAGTGTAAACCTGTGGGCAAAATGAAATTCATTAATAAGATAATTGCAATCAAAGAGGTCCTCCCAACGAGGGAAATATTGAAAGAGGTTAGGGAGGACAAAAAATAAGGGCATAGTTGAGTTCATTGTAGATGAAAGAATTCTTTGTTGGAGAAGGATGTAGAAAAACTTAGCGGGATTGATTCAACCTGAAGGGTGAAACATAACATACAAACCACGTCCCAATCACATTGAGAAAGACATCTATATTTCAGAAGACAAAATTAAGATATATTTAATGTAATTTTGATTATAAATTTTGCATGAAAACATGTTCAAATTAAGAATATAAAATCTGTACATCCTTGTAGTAAATTTTAAACTCCCTCTTAAATTTATAGAGCTTTTCCATTATAAATTCATTGTGAAATCAGTGCAGAGCATGAATAAGAATTACTCTTTAAAATTCCCTTTTCACAAGAATTCTTGATGAAGTTCAATTACAGAAAACATACTTACTCGGCCTTAAAAAATTTTAGGAAACCATGAGATGGCCAAATGTAGGAGTGTTAAGAAAGGGAAGATGCAAGGGAATTCGAATAGTAGATGGACATCATTGATAATCATGCACTGAAAATCCTAATAATTAAGGTATGCAATGGTTGGCACGTGCTTGACACACATGGAATAAGTATTGATCACGGCTGACAAAGCATCTTAACAAATAAAAATAAAATGAAATACAAACGCGTGTCCTAAGACCTTAACAACACACACACACACACACACACAGATATATATAT